TTATACAACTTGAATAAATTGACAATACTCGCATGTTGTGACCTCTCCAAATTCGACAAAAAATTAATGTTATTTAAATTGTTACGATTGAACTTGATCAATTATAAACACAAAATAATAATTCTAAAAAATTTTCATTTGATTGCTTTACCACATCAAATAACAAGAATAAAGGTCCAGCAAATTGGTGGGGCTTGATCCGAGATCTCATATTCTGGAATTTTAAATTTTATTTCAGTTAAAGATTCTGTGTTTAGTTGCAAATGAATTGATCATTTCTTAATATATATATCACTAGTATCACAATTTTTTAAATCCTATCTTTAATTTAAAATGAAAAACAAACATTCCTACCTTCCATCTGTTTATAATTTGTCCTCATTTCTTACTTTAATACATTAATTACCTTAAAATCAAGTATTTTTGAATCCAAAATGTTGCTTCTTAAACATTTTTCCATGTTCCAAATATATATAATTAAGCCATATTTGGAACAAAATGAGAATTTGCAATAAAGAAAATAATGGGAACATCGTTTTGCAATGTTGATATTATCCTTTTCAGCGGCAAGAAAAAACTCGTCTTGTTTCCTGCATTGGGTTACATATATTGGTTAGAACTAAAAATTAACAAGAATGGCATATGACATTTTTACCTCATCTTCTTTGATATTGTCTAATCGAACATGCCAAATATATTCTTGGCCTCGGAGGTCGTAATTCAATTGTCTATTGTGGGGGGAAATAGAAAAAAACCGGTTGTTTTACAGTTGCAATTTGCAACATCTGAAACCAAAATAATTTAATGAAATCTGATAGAATTCGTCTAAAGGTAGGTTATGTAATTAATCAAACAATCTCTAGTGGTGGTGCATGCCACTAAATTATATTTATGTCGCTTCAGTTTCTTGCTCGGAAAAAGACTACTGAGCTAATTCATAGTTTTGTCTATTCAGAATCGGCAAGAAAAGGTTAATATATGGTTTTATAATCTGGAGAGCTCTTATTTGTGCACGTTACCTTGAGTAATGAGATAAACTGATAAACTACCAATCAACCTAGAAGAGTAATTAATCATTAATAAGTAGTATATTTGAACACTCCAAAGATCTGTATGGTTACAAATAGGCCGTCTGAGGTTTTTTCAAGTTCATAGTGAAAGCACACTTAGCTCAAATTCACGTCGAAAATGGGTTTAATATTAGGTTATGCAGAAATCATTCTAGCAATTGTGTGTTTCCTCTTTATGTGGAGTTTTAGAAACATGAACAGCCAGATGCCTTGGAACTGGCCACTACTGGGCATGCTTCCGAGCCTATTTCTCCATGTGCATCGGTTTCATGAACGGTGTGCAGACGTTCTTGAGTGGAGTGGGGGCACTTTTCTGCTTAGGGGTCCCTGGTTTTCTAATATGGACATTCTTGGCACTGTGGATCCAGCCAATGTGCACTTTATAATGAGTGCAAACTTTGCCAATTTCCCTAAAGGTCCAGAGTTCAAGAAAATTTTCGAAGTTTTGGGAGATGGGATCTTCAACACTGACTTGGATTTGTGGACGAATCAAAGGAAACAGGCTCGAGCTTTGCTCAATCACGAGCGTTTTCGGAAGTTCTTGATCAAAACTAGCTGGGAGAAAGTGGAGAAAGGGCTTATTCCAGTTCTTGAACATGTGGCTAAGCAAGGGTTTGTGGTAGATCTACAAGATTTGTTCCAAAGATTCACGTTCGATACTACTTGTATATTGGTCACAGGCTACGATCCGGGGTGCGTTTCAATTGAATTCCCTGATGTTCCCTTCTCCAAGGCCATGGACGAGGCGGAAGAAGCAATATTCATGCGCCATTGCTTGCCAGAAAGTGTTTGGAAGTTGCAAAAATGGCTATGTATTGGACATGAGCATAAGCTAACTAAAGCTTGGGGTGTCTTGGACGACGTTATAGGCAAGTACGTGTCAATGAAACGCAAAGAACTAAGTCAATCGAGAAAATCTGATGGAGATGAAGAGGGATTAGATTTGCTAACATCTTACATCAATGAAGATGAGGGCATGGGATTGGATTGCGATGACAAATTCTTGAGAGACACCATACTGAATTTCATGATCGCAGGGCGTGACACTACTAGCTCAGCTCTCACTTGGTTTCTCTGGTTAGTTTCGACACATCCAGAAGTCGAAAAGAAAATAAGAGAAGAACTAAATTCCATTTTACAGCCCAAGGAAGGTGAAAAATGGAAGCTCTTCAAGGTGGAAGAATTGAAAAACCTAGTTTATTTGCATAGTGCATTGTGTGAATCACTAAGGCTGTATCCACCAGTTCCATTCCAGCACAAGGCTCCTGTTCAACCTGTCATTCTTCCAAGTGGTCATTATGTTAATCCAAAGATGAAGGTTATGTTTTCCCTTTATGCCATGGGAAGAATGGGGTTCATATGGGGTAAGGATTCCAAGGAATTCAAGCCAGAGAGATGGATCACAGATCGCGGGACAATTAAATACGAGCCTTCATACAAGTTCTTGGCCTTTAACGCTGGACCTAGAACTTGCCTCGGGAAAGAAGTAGCTTTCACACAGCTGAAATCCGTGGCGTCTGCCATAATCCATAACTACCAAATCCAAGTGGTGGAAGGGCACCCTGTGACCCCTAATGTTTCTGTGATTCTCTATATGAAACATGGATTGAAGGTTAAGGTTACCAAGAGATGGACTTGAAAATTGAAATTATCACAAGATGGGATTCCATTCCATTCGTATATCCTACCTGTTGATGTTATTTTGTTTGGTAATAATTATATTATCTCTATTCCATGTTTAATTAGTATGTCAGCAAGCGATTGTTGTGCAAATGGATTTACCTAAATATGAATGTGATTTATTATTGTATCTTAACTAATTTTTTCCTTCTTCTTCACCTAAAATTTAACTATATTTTCGTAGTTAATAGATCTCTTATACGATAGTTTTCATGTGAAAACTCAGATCGAACTACCTGCTTCAGAGCTGACTAGTTAGCTTCATCGAATCAGTGTACCCACAAATGTATCACAACTAGAATCGAACGGCTCGGCACGTATTTTTTAACTGAAAAAGAAAATTTTAAATTTGAATATGCAGAAAGAGCTCAAGTCTGGCTTGTCAATTTTATAATTTTGGAAGTTTTGACACATATTTTCCTCCAATTTCCAAGTTTAAATGAGCTCCACTTAGCATAATTCAAGACGAAAAGAAAACTGTAGAATGATAGTCCGTTCTTGCAAATTCTAATGCATTTCATCTAATCTTAATTGATAAGACATGACTTGTGTACATCAACAAGAACATACCTAAAGTTGTTGAACTTCTTTGGTTTTCCTGTTTCTTATTATTTTGGTGAAAAGACAGAAATTTTCTTATATTAACAGTTAATTATGATAAATAAAAATGTTTAATACCTCGTACATGAGAACGTGGAAGCATATAGTTAGATATCTTGTTTGAATGTTGTTCACCTAATAGTCTGTAATAAAAGTGACATGCATTAGGTCAGTGTCTTACTAATTTTGATTGGACTTTTAATTTATTAAAACAAGTCAGACGGTAGCTTGACAATTTTTCTGGGATTTACAAAGATCTTAGAAAACCTAAATAAAAGCTTCCTTGCATTATTCAACTATGAGAAAAGATAACTGACCCTGAAAGGACCAAGAAATGAATACAAGAACGCTTGTTTCTCCCTAAAAGTTATAAGATGGTTCATGACTAGGCTCAGAGTTGCACCTGTCTGGCTATGGATTCAATCCTGCCAATTTCATATAAAGAGATAATTATAACCTTCGTGTTCTGGTTTCCCTCTAGAACTAACCATCATATTTTTAATCATCTTCATTGATGTAAAATGTCAAAAGATCAACGCCATCTTCTTTTTTATTTCCTTCTCGTATTTCTTCGCGCTTCATTGAAATATATTTGCTAATGAAGCTGTCTGAGATTTCCCAGCTCGGCTCAATTTTCTTTCTGATCCAATCCCTGGACTCCTTCGAACTTTCGTACGATTTCAGGCAAAACATGGCACATGAAACTCGCTTTTTCATCATCTTCTATGGCTTTCGAGAAAGTAACATCTGGAAAATGAACGGGATGAACATCCAGGATCATAACCAGTAACTAAAATGCAGGTAGTATCAGCTATTAATAGTAAACCTCTGAAATAAATCCTGCAAATCCAAGTGCGTGTGATTTATCAATGCGCGTGCAATATTCCTCTGATGCTTCCACAAATCCAAGTCTGAATTGAAAATCCCATCTCCCAAAACATCAAATACCTCCCTCAATTTTGGTGGTCCCTTGGGAATATTCTGAAAATTTGCAGCTGCACATTTTCGGCATCAACCGTGACAAGCATCTCCATTTTAGCAAACCAGGGGACCTTCCCCCTTGTCTGTAAACTTCCTCGCCTTAAATTCTCTTTTGCAGAATTGTGAATCTTTGGAACGTTAAACGAAAGCACAAGCAGCACCTCAAACAGTGGCCAGTTTCAGGAAAACGCTTTGTAATTCTACCCTGCCCAGAAAGAGAGAACTTCAGTATACCCGATTATTGCCACTGAATTCCTTCAGAAAATTGAGCATGTACCACACCTAGTTATAGCATTATAAATGTGTACTTGGAAGCCTATGGATTAACATCAGATTATAGTATCAAAATTTAACTCTGCCACTAATTGTTTCTTGCTCAAAGAAACATAATTGGTGATATATCATCTATAAATGGTGCATCTGGCCTTGTGTCCCTGATAATTTGCTTTACTATGTACATCACATTCCCTTTAATGCTGTGATAACTGCTATTTTGAAAAAGTATAACCAGCTAACAAAATACAAGAAGACGACATTGGCAAAATTTCATTTACAGGTGACGGTTTTACATTAAAAAATCTTCAATTAAAAAGGATAAGGCTGAGTACAAGATTAGGACATTTTATCCATTTAAATGTTTCTTAAAAGAATATACAGAAAGAACAAAAGTTAAAGTTCATCTACTTTTCCATCCACTAATGAATATAGTTTGCTCACACATTAAAAGTTCTGAGGAGGCCAAGGAATTACAATAGAGGAAGAAAAATTGAAAATCAAATGAATGGAAAGAATCGATGCATATTCAGCGATAAACAAGCAAATCCATTACATTATAACACACGGTGAACAGAAAGCCTCTCTGTGGCCAAATAACGAGTGAAACTTCCACCAAGGAAAACATACAGCTCTTGAAGATGTTTCGGTCAATCAACAAGCAATTGAGATTTTCTTACATTAATAACTGTACGCTTTGATCTCACAGTGGTGATTTCCTGGTTGGCACTAGATGCATATCTTGGGATGTTATAATAGTCAGGTGTTGACATGGGCTGCTGGGGATAAAGTGTGGGAGGAGAGTTCAGGTTGCGTTGAGCAGGTAGCGGAGGAAAAGCGTATTATACTTGTACGTGTCGCCAATCGAACTCCAGTAGAAGATGCAGTAAGAAATATAGCAAAAAACTGGAATTATACAAGCTTTTAGGCATAAAACAAAGTGCTGATGATATAACAATTACAATTAATGAAAGAGAAACAAAGTTAACCAGAAAAAATGATGCCCGGAACAGTATCCTTATGAGTCACAAAGGGCGGCACATGACATGAACTTTACATAACAAACATCCGAGAAGAATTTTCATAAACTTCAAGGTTCTATTTCTTGAAGATCAAAGCATCAGAACACAAGACAAACTGCATAGTTGGGATTCTTCTTCACCTTTCAAATTACACATGAAAGGGAAGTACAGACGCTGCCTTCTTTTTCTATTCATCTTTATTTTTGTTATTTGGAAGGAAACTATAAAAAATTGGGAGTGCAGATTTCATTCATAAGAAAACCCGATGTAAAATGTATTTATGGTGAACAATCCAAATGTTTTTCTCCTTTTCTTCAGGTAGTTTTTGCATACGTACATGCACATATAGACATGTGTGTATATTTGATATATACACATGTATATGTGGATTTGAGAGTCTGATACGAGAGGAAATTTCAAAAAGATCATAATTCATATCTTACAGGTCCAACATGCACAGGTTTTTGTGAACAAAAATATATAAATTATGATAACATGGGCATCCACACGCACGCACATTAACGAGTTCATTTTTGCATGCTGGCTTCTTTTTTTATGTTGTCATTTTTTTTTGCCAGGTTCACCACAGACATGGGCTTTTATTCATAATTCTTTCAGATTATCTTTGGTGAATTTTAGTTTATTTTAAAAGATATTTCCTCTGAATTCTTCCGCACCCTCTGCCACTTGCAGCAAAAACCTTCTGGGACGGAAATTGACATGCATCAAATGGCAACTTGTACGTGAGTAAGAAGTGTTGGTACAAGACAAGCGAAGAATACCTAATCTAACAATTGATATGGAAAAAGAAAAACAATCAAATAAGTAGAGATTATTTTGCAATTTGAGCAGAAAAAACGATGCAATTTGATCTTGAACCACATGCATTGCCAGACGTGTGGCCATCATTTTCTTTTATGCTGTGTTAGAATAATTCAAAAGGTTTCATGCAGCAGATCAAACTATCACAAAAGATCTCTAGGCAGGTTAAACTGGTCCTCGCTTAAAATTTCAGAAGACTGACAACAACCGATGAACCTGGGTCAACCACGGGCTTGCACCAGGCAATTCATCTGAGAAGTATATCTGCCTGATCAATTTCATACATGCACAGGCAAAATATACAGACCATTCGAAAAAATTTCATCACCGCTTCTTTGTCGTACCTGGCTTCTTTGGCAGCCTGAATCATTCAAAAATTAATTCTAGGTTAATTTTCCATTGGTAAAGATACAAAGAATATTGAGGTGAACATCCTTAAATTGAAACTTATAATTGATTATTTCCTAAATTAATGCAGTAGCAATAGATGTAATATTCCACTTCTAAAGCTTTCTTGAATCTTTTGCCACAGAGTGAAGGAAGTGCAAATAAGTGGGAAAGATCATTCTACAAACCAAAGCACAAAATTGATTCTAGTTCCAACCACACTTTGTTTGGAACTACGATTTCCTTTTCCTTGAAGCTCAACCAAAATTTAAGTTGATACACCTGCAAACTTCCCAATAATTCTTGGACTATAAAGTTTGATTGCTGACCACAACAATTTTGTTAAAAAAAATTATCTGCCAACAATTTGATCTGAAAATCACATGGCAGCTTTCCCTACTCCATCTAAGAATTCTTGAAACTACATTCAAATGTCAAAAAAATTATCATATTTTTGGAAAATATATAGCCACGCGATTCAGATACATTAGTTTATTTTAATAGATGAAAAAATTAAGCTCGGAGTTCAATTTTCTTTCAGGAACTATTCAAAATTTCTTAATCTAAAAGGCAATATAACCTCAACTTACCAACATCAGAACATAGAGCACAGACAGCCTACTATCCCATGCCCCACCAATCCTTTCGGACAAATAATAAATATGAAGCTTAAAATGAAAGTTGTACAAAAGTGTCGAATCAGTTGGGTTGAACAAAGAAGATAGCAACATATGCATTCATCCTTAGCTAGTAAACAACTGTACAAATTCATCTTTGCAGTTTCTGCCATACAATAAAAATAAATAGGAGACATTCTTCACATGCACACATACGCATAAATGCAGTGCAATGTGGGGACACCAGCAAAGCATGTTTGGCATAAAACCAGTAAGACTTTGTAAAATATACCATACTTAAAGTGTTGTGCCTTTGGACTATGAGAAAAGAAAAGGGAAATAGTTTGCCATCTTAAACAATTGCAGCAGGATGCTGCAATTAGCTCAAGACTCATCTAAGAAAATGAAATTAAACTAACAATTGAACTTAAGAAACACTTAAACAGTATTTAAATAAATATCATGGTTAAGCAGAGAAACAGGAAATCTTCCATATACTACTTAAGGAGAATTAATTATTCATCAACTACTACCTGAGAGGAAGAATACACAATTTCCTTTGAATATTTGGTAGATCCAAGTGCTTGAGCTACATTTTGCCCTTATATGAAACATCAGTAGAAGAGTTGCTAGAATTCATAAAAAAATTGTCACGTAGCAGCTTAAATTCTGCACAAACGTGTTACTATAAACACCATATTTCCAATTATACTTACTGATAGAAGACCTCCACTGCCAGGGAAACTCTCAGTCAAAGGAAGTTCTTTGTTTGATGAAAGTAATCCCTGCCTCTCAACCCATTGTCTAGCTGCATCAACAGGATTACCACTGCTCCCTTGTGTACCCTCTTTTGTTGCAATATCTGCTTTGTTAACAATAACAATGTATGGTACAGGAAGACCACCAGGACCTCCAGACGCCAAAGGAGCTGAGAATGTCCCAGTAGCAGCAATCTCTGCAGCCCACTTCTGCAAGCTTGTCTTCGTCCTTCTTTGAGAAAGATCATGAACAAACATAACACCTAAAGATGAAGTTCAGTTCGTTAAAGCAATAAAGATCAAGAATATCTATGTTAAAAAGTTCACAGAAATTTATACGATGCATGCTTAAAAGTAGTAGTATCAAACTATACCCTATTCAGTTTAGTGTGAAATATTGTACTACTGATGCATTATAAGTAATGCGGTCCCAAATAATGAACAGAATATACAGTTGCAAATATTAACATGCATGTAAACTTTTATACTGAAAGCAGATGATTTATAGTTAAAAACCTCCATGATATGGTACATTTTTGCATTAAAAAATTTAAATCAAACAAAAGGGATCATTGTTTACTATTGATTTGAGAATCGAACAGAGAGAGACTGGCAATCTTGATATCGTTCAAGTCCTGATACATCCCAAAGTTCCATAGGTAGTATGCTGCATAAAGGAAAATGGGAATTCATCAATATTTCTTATGCAGTATTAGCTATCAACTCATTTTGAAAGAAATGAATACATCAAACTTTAACATCAACAGTACAACCAATTGTCTAAACAGGCCGAGAAATGGAAGAACCTTTAAGCCCCTTTTTGGCCTCCATTAAATTCCATTTCATTTTTCTCTCTCTTATTTTCAACCACACAATCTTCCATAAAATAATATTACACGTAAATCGAAAAATTTTCCTTTTTTTCAACCACTCATTTTTCCAAAAAAAAAAAAAAAGAAAGAAAGAAAAAAACACCATTCCACCCATTTTTATTCAAAAAAGGGGGCCAAACGGGGGCTAAGAATCAGATGAGCAAGAGAAGTTTTCCCCACACCTATCAGAACATTGAAAAATCAATATGCAGTATCGTAGAAGATGTGATATTAAATAAACATTGTTTGAAAAAGTTATCATTATTATAAGGAGCCTGAACTAGAAGTTCTACTACACTACAAAGAGTTTGTAAGCAACGAGGAGTTCTTCAAAAACTTCATTATCTGAAACTTCAGCTTTCACAAATCTGAATTTCCAAAGACAGGTATTAAACAGAATGCATGACACTTTGCCATGTATACAGCAGCCATCTACAGAAAATTCTGAGCTCCAAGCAAGAACTGCTTTACCTGGACATATACAATGTATTCTTCTAAACTGACAGGCATCTTACATTCGTCTTATGTAAGAATGGTATAAGTACAGATTGTTATCTCTAGGGAAAATTGCAGCAGCGATCCTAACCTCTTCGATTTTTGCAGACTTTATTCTAACCTTCATTTTGTGCTAGCGAAGGTCTCTAACCTTTCATAAATATACATTTGAGATCCATCTAAACAGAAACAGTCCAAAATACTTTATGTCAAAAATTCCTTGAACTATATGCTACTGCGACGGTTTTATTGGATGTTGATATCTTTTTGGAGGGTGTTTTGGACTGTTTCTATCCAGATGGATCTCAGGTGCATATTTATGAAATGTTAGGAACCTCTGCTAGCATAAAATAAAGGTTAGGATAATTGTCTGCAAAAAATGAAAAGGTTAAAGACCGCTGCTATAATTTTTGCTCATCTCTATTCGCTAAAAGCTGCTGTTTGTAGGTATTATGCATATAGAAGAAAGCATCAAAACCCCTCGGAACCAAAATTACAGAATAACAAATTTGTTCCATTTTTGTTCTGAAAGATCCCGAATTCTCATTAGGTACTAGATTTTTCAATTCAGCGTTTAGTAGTACCGACCAAATATTGAAATACTATAAATACACGCACAAAGAATATCCCTTCCTACCCCCAGCTAGCTCTCTCTCTCTCTCTCTCTCCCCCCTCCAATTTTATTTTGGAAAAGCAAGAATTCTTGCACAGCATTTTTAAATTGAGCATATGTAAAGCCCTATAATAGAATTTTCAGGGACGTAATGGTGGAATGCTGGAGAGAGAAACTTAATAAAGATATGTTTAATGGAGCAAGACCTTTGGTGAGATAGGGGGGTAGTAGAAGAGAAAGTCAAGGTTCTTCCTTATTTTTTTTATCTTTTATCTTCAGTCATGGACAAGCTCACAAGATATATCCAAAATGCACTCCCTTAGTATATGTGAGATTAGCTGGTGGCATTTAAGTTGATTGAATATGAAGAAGATACATGATTAGTTAGAACATTGTATAAAGATTTTAAATGGAACTAAGATAATATAATTTGGTGTGTTGTTTTCCCTAGTTTTTTAGATTGCTTCCGACTTTGGGCCAACATAACAAGATAGAAGAGGAAAAAATTAGATAAAATTAACACAACTTCACTGAGAACAATGATTAGTTTGTCGTCATTTCTTTTTTTCCCACTGGTAGACTATATCATAAAGAGAAGAATTAGGCTGGCCACATTGAGCTTTAGCTGGGTTTTTTGAAAAAAACCACCAAGAAACAAATCACTATAAGACCAACAGAGTTATCAGCATCTTTACCCTGAATTGTATAGAAAAAAGGGCATACAAAAATATTGAAAAAACACATACAAAATTCAGAAATTACTAAATTCAAAATTTCTAAGATAAGAGAAATGATAAACTCAGTTACCTGTGTCACCAACAACTCCTCTGACCTGCCCACAAGGAGGACCACCATTATGCTCTTTGTTTTCCCTTTTCCTCCCTCTCCAAAACATATTCTCCCACTCCAACACCAGAAAACCTATCCACAAAGAAAATTTAAAAAATTCCCAAAAATATTCACCTCAATTTCAAGCCCCGTCTCATTAAGAAACTCACTAATCTCCGCGAAAAGCAGCACCCTCTCAAAATGGGTGTTTCAGATTCCAACCAAACAAACCCAAAAACTTAGAAAGAATTAACCAAAGAAAAAGTTGAATTCCAACAGTCTAGCATTGAAAAACCACATAAAAGTCAAAATATGGGATTACAACCAGGTAGATCTTTCAAGATTTTCAGAAGGTTTCCCTTAAATCTGTATATATCATTCTCAACTCCAACTGGGGCCAACAGAATTGGTTCTTTTGCTCGATATCGTGATAAATAGAATACGGGATTCCATATCTAAAATCCGTGTATGGAAGGAGATAAGGTTTGAAGTAATACGTTCTTGACGTACTACTATGTTTCGGAAATCGCGTAGGAACGGGGCTTAAACAAATCACATGTCTCAAAGGAGTGATCTGAAAATGGCATAAGATTATAAGCATTCAACAGAACTTGGGAGGAGATAAATCCTTTTGATTAAAGCGACGGCATTAATTAGAGATTATTCTTCTCCCGGGAGTTAGGAGGGTTCATATTTTGAAGTACTTCTATGTAACTTATATAGAAGTTCAGGGGCCAAATTCTTATTTCCTCATTACATTTGAGTATCTGGCATTGGAAAATGCTTAAAATTTGATGGACCTTTTGTGTACGTTGATGTCAATGCTGAAAGTTGAGATAAAAGCTTTTCAAGAAAATATGATTGTCATAGTTACAAGTGTGCCCATTAACAGGAAAAGGTTGAATGGTTATAATTAGGGATGGAAAGTGGTACGAGTTGATTCGCGAGCTCGTCGACTAGTCATATTTAAAATATATATATATATATACAATTTCATTAAATATATATATTGGCTAGTCGTAAATCAAGCTCAATAGTATGTTCATCCCATTTAACACCTCTAGTTATAACTTCGACAAGTCATCCTTAAGATCGATTGGAATGTTAGTTTGATAGCTCAATCAACCGATATAGATATACTTAAGTATTTTATTATATTTAGTATTGTATAGTTATAGCTCAATAATGGATTTTATATAATTTTATTTTAAAGGAAATTTCAAATAACTCACAACACTAAATACTTTAATTGTAAATGATGAAAATTTTATGCAAATAGAATAAAAGACATATCTGTTTAATGTTAGTTCACATTCAAGTAAATATCATACAACCCCCGTCCAAAGAAAATTAATAATAAACACACAATTCTTCCCATATATGTACAATGTCAACAAAGTATTGTTCACATACTCGAAATATGGTAAGGTACAACAGTATGAGAACAAACGTACTCATGGTCAACATACTACATAATACATAGAAATATAGTATGGTACAATAATACGAGAACAAATATAGGCCTGGTCGACACACTACACAGTAGAAATATTTATACATGATAACTTGTGGAGTAGAAGATAGAAATTACTGTAGAGAAGAAGATGGCTGTAAAGTCCATGGCATCTGGTTATGGATAATAGAATCAGGGCTCTGGTGATTATGCATTCCTTCATAGGTTGTTATCACATAATTTGGGTCATCCCTATCCCTTTCTACCCTTTTCTTCACACTGCACCCTTCACTTGTACATTTGAAGTAATTCCTGCAAATAGTCACGTTCAAGTAGTAAAAAACATAAAAGCTCAAAAATAGACCGTGCAATAATTGAAGTAGGACAAACGCGAATAATAAGAAAATTGTCTTGTTTGTATCACGCGAACAGGTGTTGCACTAATTTCACTCAAATGGATGTAAGAAATGCTGAAATCCACCAAATAATGAAAATTTTAAATATTATTATTCAAAAAATGGCTGTACAATTTTGAAACCCTTAACATATATATGAAGTGTAAAAGTGAAACCTTAATTAGGTAAACAAATCCAAATAGAACCAGGAAGCTGCAAAAATGACGACAATACCCATAAATTAACCCAAAACATAAAAAACGCTAAAATGAATTTCTAAACGGTGGAATTTGACCCCAAAAGTTTAAAGGTGTTGGCCAGTGGCCATTATCGTCACCCCGGGTAACAAAAAATGCTTCCGGATGGTATTCCTTTAGTCTGGGTAAATCTGAAAGTTATGCGCGTTTTCATAGACCTTCTCATTTCTCCTCTTTAATTTTCAACTAATTTATGATTTTCTCTTCTAACTGTTTCACATCAATAATCAACAATATTACAAAAAAAGTTCTTATTGGCTGATAGTGTATGGACTGAACGGGTGATAAAGAATATGGGATTACATCATAAATACTGTACTTCGCAAGCCCGTGCCAATTCTCGGCGGCTATGATTAATTAATGAATGAATTCTAAGTAAAAGCCAAGACTAATTCTTGTCCAACATGTAAGCTGGTGCATGAACTTGAGGATTTTACCTTTTGTATAAACAACGATAATTTTGATACAATATAAATGACAAGGAGAAATAGATAATACTCTGATATCGATCAACATTTCGTAGGGTGGCAATAACCTCAAAGGCAATTTTTTTAATATTATTAAAATACATTGATTATTGAGTACTCATTTATATATATATATATAAGGTCATCTTACTAATTCGAAATTTTTAGAAGGCCATCTTAGAGGAGATGTATTACTATTGCAATTCTCCATTATTATTATTATTGTAACAATTTGGTAGGAGGGGCGGATTTAGAGATAAATACTAAGGTGGCCTACAATTTAAAGTTGGTATAAGACTGTGAATTTTTCTATTGGGTTGAAATAATTTGGCAAATTTTATGAATTTGACAAAGGGAAAATTGGACAACACTTTTGCAAAGAGAGGGTCCCGTCTCAAGAGATAAGCAGATGCTTTCACATTGAAAATGAATCTCTATATCTTTGTCTTTGCACTTATATTTTCTAATCTTGTAATTGAAATTAGGTTCTAATACACAACATGTAAAGGAACAATTTGAATCTTTACACGTTATGATCTCCCTACATGACACGAAGAGAAGAAGACACAACACGGTTCTAAAATCAGAAATATGTAATTCCTCCTTGCAATTTTTTCTTCTTCCTTTTTTTTTTTTTTTTTGGTTGTATACTATGTCATTTATTAATTTATACTTGTTTGAACAGATATGAAAATTATCATTTCCTCTAGTAAATAAACGTGAGAAAGAGACGCATAAATATTTCTACACAAATTCGTGCGGCTTATATTCTCTTTATGATCTTGATTGAATAAGTCTGATCTCATTACATTTATTAGTGAAATCTATGCAATGGCCATTAACCATCACGATCTCACCCTATAAGTGGCAAGAGTATGAGCATCTTGATTCAATTTCTATCTTGTAATGAAATAGATTAAGGCTTGTTCACAAAAAGCTCCTTGATTTGATGATCTCCATATTCTAGTATTGTGTTAAGGGACCTAACCACTTCCTTAAGAATCCTATATTACTTGTCTTTGTCGAGAGTGTACTCTACTTTACTGAAAACGAATAGTATGCTACCCACCTTTGACGATGGGAAAGGTAAGGTTCTAATTTACTATTTTCAGGTTCTAATTTACTATTTTCAAAGGCTGACGAATACCATGTAATAAAGATAGAGAACTTATTGGACTAAACAAGGGGATGGTTCTTAATGGCACATGGCTGCAATACCTGAATCACTAGAATAATCTAGTTTCAATAGTCGGGATTTGACCTAGAAGTGCTTACTACTACACTACACTATGCTTGACTCCAAACATTTACAAAGCTAATCTATGTTTAGTGCTGAGGCAGAGCCAAGAGACTTCAATCATTACTCTTTATCTCCACTTAGTCTAGGCTAACAAGCCTTATTCAAGAAGGAGGTTGGATCCTTGAAAAGCACTGTCAAGAGGAAGTACCTTGGCCCCTCTTCATTCTCTACATGGTTGCAAACATTTATTCAACATAGGTGTGAACTAGCAAGGCAGAGATAGAAGGATCAAACAAGAGAATTAAAAAAAATAAAAAAAATAAAAAAAAATCAACACATATTTTTTTTATTATTTTTTTTTTAAACACAAGAGTCTGCTAAATGGTATCGTGATGTATAGTCTAACGTATAATGTATTGAAGACTACTTGTTCATCGATCTTTAAAAAGTTACTTGTTGTTCGCTGAATTTTGTTATATGTTGCAACTTGCTCATCGAAATTTAAAATATTATTCGTTACTAAATTTGAATAAAGTTACTCTTTGCTCACTAAAATTTGCTATGGATAAATTGATAGAAAAATATGGGTGATTGATGGGTAATTTTGTATAAGTTTGAGTGAGCAAGTAATTTTTTAAATTTTAGTGAGCAGGTAGTAATTTATTACAAAGTTCGGTGAATAAATAGTAGCTTTTTAATTTTCAATGAGCCAATAGTAACATTTAGGATACTTTTGATTGCGAGCAGGAAATTTGTATAAAAAGAAAATAAGTTCTAGGCTCTATGAAAATTATTAATGAAATATATTTGATTAATTTAATTTTTAACTTAGAAATTATAATACTTGTCCATTTTTTATTGGTGGATAGATAAAAGAAAAAGGGGATAGATGTTTGTGTGAGAGAGAGAGAGAGTGAATTACCTGAAAAATAAAAATCACATCTTCTTAAAGAAAATATTTTCTTTATTTTTAATGAAAATATGGCCACATGACCAAAAGTTGGAAAATATTTTCCATGAAAAAAAATTGCTAATCAAACATCCAAAAAGTAGGAATTTGGGTGAAAAATGACATTTTCCATAAAAGATAATGCCAATCAAACACACACATAGCGAAGTTGAATGATCATTAATTAAATTAACTTGAAAGGAAAAGTATTAGTTGCTTTGATTGGAAATCCTCGATTAACAGCAAAGCTAACTCAAACACTATTAAAGTTGCGAAATTCCAGTATATACTCCACATATCATGAATAATTTAAAGTGTGGCATCTATCTTTACAAAGATTAGTTTCAAGTTTGAATTACTGAACGTTTTCATTTTATCCACCTAGAAAAAACATATGATGTCGATTTAAATGTCTAATAAAATGCTCGATTTATTCATTTTTTCCCCCATTTTTTCTAGGAAACCATCTTAATATATTTACCTCTCATTAGTTAGTAATTATAATTATCTCCGGGATGATAAAGAGACGTTTTGGGAGAGATGAATCTCTTTCACTGGTAAATACAAAACCAATTATTATTATTAACAACAGATACAGTAAAATCTTGGGAGAAAGGAAAAACAATATTGTGAATTAAAACTATGAAATTGACGGCTTTACATACCTTGGATTCGGGCTGTTCTTGACCATCTTTTTCCCATATTTTCTCCATTTAAATCCATCATCCATAATTTCCAGCTTTGATTTTGTTCTGAATGCAAACCTAAATTCATCTTTTGTCCCCAAATTCTTCTCTTTTCTTCTACACGAAAACATGACCGATAAACGCCCGTTATATTCACTACTTTTCGGTAGATAATTAAGAGCCAATATTTTAGAAGATAAAGAAAATTAATCTAAGGTGCAATAGTTATAGAACTTGCATGTTACTAGCTAACGGAGTAGACGAACTCGAAGATCCATTGAAGTTGTTCTCCACATTCTCAGATCTTTTTGCCGTATCCCTCGTGGAAATTTCTTCCTCGAACTCACCATCAAACGCGACATAATCCGATAATTCAAAATCGAGCAATTCGTTCAGCTGGTCAGTAGTAGTACTACTGTATGCGGCTTGATTAGGGTTAGGGTTAGGGTTTTGATAATGAGAAGTAGCGTTCATTGCGGTGCTGAAAGTGGACATGTTTGATAGTGTGGAAAAATGCTTGTGGAAAAATGAGTCCCCAAGAAAGGCGTGCCTTTTCTTAAATACTTTTCTACTTTGTTTTTTAGCTCGAAGTTTCATTTCCCCTTTCCTGGAGGCACACAATGAAGGTGCTTTAGATGACACGTGGCATAGTGACCTCATATAAACTATTATGTTTTTTTATTGTCAAAATGGCTTAAAATTGTAGTCCACGTTCGGTTTTGCTAAACTCAAAATTTTAGTGAATTTTGATAAAAATTGATAAAATGTATAATTGAAGAGTTTATAAAAGTTGTGAGTCTCACGAAATATATAATCGAAAAGTTAAAAAATTGTGGATCCCGTGAAATTTGTAATTGAAAATGAATTTGTGAAAAAATGATGATCAAACGTGGACTTTGATATGATAACTTTATACATATGGAGTAAAAGTAGAAAGAAATGGCGCATATGTATGTGTGTAAATACAAAAAGTTGGGGTACACATTTTCAACTTCCAACTATTGTAGCAAGTTAAGTTACGGTTGGTTTAGTTTTCTGTTTTCCATTTTCGGTTTCAAAATGGTTTTTAGTTTTCTCCAAAAACGACGCGTTTTGGACACTTATAACTGAAAATGCTCAAAACGATAAAACCTCGTTTTGCGTTTTCAGTTATAAATTTTACATCGTTTTCCGTATTTTCAAAAACGGAAAACGAAAAACAGCCCGAAAACGCCAAATCAAACGCAACCTTAGTCTCCAACAATTAATTATTAATGTTTACCTACACAATCAGGAAAGTACTCTGAACCATATCCAAGACCTTAATGCTTTTACATGTCTAATTTTGAAAGGCTGTAAACAATTTACTTTTATGAAAGTTGATAAAAAAGACAGGAAAAAAAGCGCACCCCGATGATCGATAGAGAAAGTAAAATGGTGCAAGAAAGTGCAAAGAAACGTCGTTGGCTGCTAAAGAAGACCTGACCGAGAAGTTTCTCTAGTCTTTGATAATTGGCTCCACAAACCCAAAGGAAGTTTCCCAAATATCATATACAAAAGTGTCACTTCTTTATCAAAATTCAAATAGATTATCAATTTTTAACAATAGTTGCACTTGGAACATTAAATTGAAGTAGAAAAATAATATTTTTTTTTCCGTCTATTTTTAATTTTAATCATTTATAATTTCATATCGTCAACTCAGTGGATGACAATATGACTTAAAAGTCTAAAAAGCGTGATTTGAAATTATCTTTGATTCAATCTGACTTCAAACATTGAATTGGATGAGTAAAATCTCGTGCTATGTGGGACTCGAACGCTTATGAGCATATTTGACCAAGTGTGAATTGTTAAAGCACACAACTGAAAAGGAGAAATTATCAAGTATAATAAATATATTTTTTTTGTCTATGAATAATTAAATAGGTGTGACAAGAAATCAATATTTATTTGGCAGATAATTAGATAGACGAACAGGAAATAAGCAACCAAAAAAAATAATTTTTCCAAACTAAACTAGAAAATTGTTGGGTTGTGTGTTCATACAGCATATTTTGCCATGATAACATAATAATTTATAATAAGTAAAATTGTGATTTCATTTTTTTATCATAAATTAAATTACATATGATCACTTGTGATAATATAAGTTATGTACTTGTATTGATAGCACAGTATAACATAATTTATATTTTGATCATAAATAATTTATTCATAATCAATGTATAAATGTTGGCACATTGCACTGGTAGGTTGTAATGTTGACCAATTTACTATTTAAGTTTGTGATTTGTCCTTATTGCAAAAATAGTTAAAAGTTACATTAGTAAACTTGAAATGTATTGAATGGACTATGTGTCGAGTTTAATTTTATAGTATGATAGTTCAGAGAATTAAATTCCACTTGATCGCTGTATATTTCATCCAAATCCCTTGACAAAATTATATATATCATTTCGTGATTTTAATGGTTCTTTGATTCATCAGTAATTGAGATTAATTTGATTGGTCAAATGTCTCGATCAGTTGGGAACTTAAGAATGAGCAAAGTAGAGAATTTGAATTCGTGTTGAGAACCGTCACCTTTAAAATGGGTAGAGTGACTACTTTAAGTATTTTTTGCTAAACGGTTACAATATGATCTCAACGTTTAAAAAATGCTAAACTTTAACATCTGTGATTAGTTTACAGGGCCGTTAAAGAAAATGATACTTAAGTTAGTGAGAATAATTAGACCGTCAAAACAATCATTTATGCTCATGCCTAATTATCGAATCTCGGACAGAGATAAAATACATATACGATGGGTCAGAGGAAAGTATTACAGATTTATTGACTTTTATGATCTTATATATTCCAAGAGTTCAACATTTTGCTTTAATAGAAAGAGCTAAGACTAATAATTAGATTGGGTGATCTAAAGTCGACTAGACATAAATTCATTATTAGAGTTTGTATAATATATGTTCGATCAGCTGGTTCTTTGGTAGCTCTATAAAGTATTGAAACTTAATTATGATAATTATAATAGTTTTGGACTTAATTGTAATTACAATAAAGTTTTGTATTTACTTGTAATTGCTATAAAAATTGTAAACTTAATTATAATTGGAGGTTTGAAACATCAAGTTCTTGAAATTAAAAGCTGAAAATTCATAATTCAGAATTAATTCAAGAATCAACCATTGAACTTAGGTAAAAATTTGAATTATTTATTCTTGATATAACATACACGTGAACAGTTAGACGATCTTATTTATTGAATTAAAGAAACTTTTTAATTTCTGAATAATTCCACTTCTGCATTCCAACAAAAACATGAGAATGTCCATGATTTTTTCTCTAGTATAATTAGAAGTTACACTAAACAAATATTACGGAGGGTAACGACAATATTGTCAAATTTAGATTGGTTTGGATTTTAAGAGTAAAAGTATAAGAGAGGAAATCATTAACCGAATTGCCATACTCGTAGCCACTTAGTAGAATTGAAAAATCACCATTAAATCTCGTATCTTTCAGAAGTATAATACTCGAAATTACATTCTATTTTCTCCCACCATCCTATTCCAGTCGACCCCACAACCCAAATGATATACTCAAATGTTAATAATGTCATTAGTTTATCAATTAGGATTGGGCACGACTTGGTTTGGATTGGTTTCGATTCCAACCCAAAACCAAAACAAAATTAGTTGGTGTAGGTGAATTTCAACCCAAATCAACACACTCTAACTCCTAAACCGAATTGTCAGTTCGCACTTTTAATCCAAATTGAATTTAAAAAAAAAAAATTGTCCAAGTTTTGGCTCAATTAGATTATAATAACTAAGCCCCCGTTTGGTGCACATTATTTGGGAAAATAATACATTTTTTCCATCAAATCAGTCTACAATTTTTGACTTCAACACTCTAAGGTAGGACCCATGATGTGATGTTTAAAATACATTTTTGTTGAAAAAATGTGGAACAAACGGGCTCTAAATAACTTTACGGTTGTGTATGATTGTATTTATTTTCCATGAAAAATATTAGTGTTCCATCCAAATTCTTACTTTGGAATATTTGATTACTATTTTTTTTCATTAAAAATATTTTTCAACCTTTGAAAATATACTTAATTTTCTTTATTTTAAAGAAGAAAAGGGTTTTTGTTTTTTCAAAAAAAAAAAAAAAAAAAAAAAAAAAAAAAAAAAAACCGTTTTCTTCTCTAGATAATATTTTTCATACCACTCAAATACACTCTTATATTGCAATAATTATTAACTAACAAATAAAAATAGGTTACTACAAATTGATCAACAGAAAACTTAAAAATTTTATTGCATTTTTATATATTATGTAGCATAACTATTTGAGTAGGGAAAAAAGACTAAACATTACTTAATGAGCTTGTGAAGGAAGTTTTCAGTACTATTATTTACGGACAACATCATAGATTGGAGGGAATCGTGATATAGTTATAAGATTATGACTTATCTTTTGATTTTTATTTTTCCTTAAAAAAAAAATAAACATATGAATGAATTGGGTTGATTCGGTTAATCAACGGTTTGAGGCTTCAAACCATGACTAAACCAAATTACCATTTTTTTATTTAAAAGAAAACCAAACCAAATCAATTACTTAGTGTCAAACCGACCCAAACATCCAAACATACCTGAGTCGGTTCGATTTAATTGGTTTAATCGGCTTTTCGATTTTTTCTCTTAGGCCAATTATCAATTATTAAAAAGATGGCATATATTTTAAGAAAAAGTTGGGCGATGTGGCATTCTGGATGTGACCATATCCATCTAGCAAAACTGTATATTTTATAATAACGTGTTTGATGGTATGTTAAAGTTAAACTAATAAAACTAATTAAGAGTCTTGTCTTAATTATTTTCATATCACATTGTTCGCTACTACAACACTACAAGATTGTATACTAATGAGGAGTATTGAGTCTTTCGAAGATTGTTCTACTTGTAATTAAGGTGAATTAAAACTAGTTTGGCTCAAATAACAAATGCAAATCGATTGGTTTTTTAGTAAGAATTTTAAAAAATGTAACATAAGCAATATAAGCAAATGTGTAAGTCTGAGGGAAAACTTAGATGATTGAGGTGCTGAGATTCACGATTTCGCTTTATCCTTCATTTAATTTGTCTCGCAATAAGCATTTATATCTCCGTGCCGATTTATTACGCAGTCAATCGTGTTAAGGTGCTGACAATTGCCAAATAGGTCACTTAGATCTATGAATGTATCTCTCATACAATAAACTAAGATGATATTTATCGGCCTAGAAAGCATCAATAACTCTTAGACAGTGGCGGATCCAAGAAAAATTTTAACATGGGCTAATATGTATAAAAATAAATAAATAAATATATATATATATATTGCACATAAAAAAAAAAGTATTTTTATCAAAAAAAAAAAAAAATTCAATGGACATTTGGGCCAAAGGGACGGGCTGTAACCGTCCCTAGATCCGCCAATGCTCTTGGAGACCATACAAATCAGTAAACATTCGTTTATTGATCAAGC